TTTTGTTAAATTCGTTTTCATTATCGTTCATTGTCAATTGTAGATGTCGTATACTCGTATGGCTTATATAATGAAATTTAGAGTCCTTTAGAACTTCTTTATAAAAAAATTAATGAGAGAGTATGTCTCCAAAAAAAATTATTGAGAGAGTATTATGTAAAGTAGATTTATACATTTAAATTTTAAACTAACTTATACTCGGGTTATATTAAAGCTATTGTAATTGCAAAGAAATGCGAGTAATGTTAGACATCAATATATATAGGGTGAATGACTGAATTCTAAGGGCTCAATCAAGTTCTCTAACTCGAGTACTAAGCAATACACTAAATGAAATTGGCAAGTTGGCCCAAAAAATGTCACAATCCGCGTTTTTGGTGAGAATAGGCTGCTTACTTTTTTTGAGCTACTAGACCAAGAATTTCAACACGCAAACTAACAAACTATTATTTCAAATATGCATGCCAGCCAATTCTCTACTTAATTAATGCAACAAGTAATTGTAGTAACTACACTATTTATTTTACATAAGATCTGGTCATTGATCTTGTTTTGTTGAACAACGAAGTATTAACTCCATTTTAAATATGTATTGATGTGCCAACTACTATATTACATTATATTCCTCATTTTCTTATTAACATTGTTAAACAGACTTAGTCTCGTTGTCGACTTTTTATCACACATTAATAAATTAATTATTGGTACTAATTGAATATGATCTATTTCGAGTGACAAATCATTTTAAAATAATTTATCGATAACAACTAATTAACAGGGTTTACTACAACAATTATATGCGTTGTTAAGACTTAATTTTGGAAAAATAGTGAAGTCCATTGAACCTTAATTTGTATGGGAATTTGGTATATAAAAATAGTAGTAGATAATTTATCAGAATATTGTATGAAGATAGGAGATCCCTTGTTTAATGTGTAGGGATCATGTTAAGGAATATATAAATGTATAGGTTCATGCTAACTCTCCTAATTCCTATGAGGCATTATTTGCTTTGACTTATATATTTGTTGTTACTACTAATTATTAATTTAAGTAGAAGTAGATAATAGTACAAACAATGATGTCCTTTTTTAAAAAATGATTAGAGATCTTCAGTTCAAAGATAATTATATATGCAGCTCTTTGAGTCCGTAAACATTTTTTTAAAAAAACATTGTTTTATATATATAATATTTAGTGTGTAAATAATAATAGCATTATTAAATTATACGTCAAACTGTTTAACTAATGTTTGTTTTAATTTTATATTTTAATTTTGTGCTCTTCCTTATACGTAGGCCTAAGAGTTTCATATGTCATTGTATTTACAATACTTCTCTATCTTTATTTTTAAACCATGTCAATTAGCAATTCTCCCCTAATGTTCTCTCTTTTATACCATGTCAACTAGAGAGGGGCACAATTTACCAATTCAATAGGATGATTAATTCAAGCATAAGAACTAAGAGTTCATCAAGTGGGAGGTGACCTAATTGAGATCCCACCCCTCAAACGTGAGATTGGGGGTTTATATATAAATTTAAAATTAGGGACGAGTATTGGTGGTTGTCTCTGGATTCGGTAAATTTCTAAATTAGGAAAAAAAAATGAAGATATCAATATATCAATATATATATTTTTAAAACTCATGGCAAGACATGTTATTTTGCCATGTGTCACGTATTTCGCCATTTGGCATATGATGTGACACCACATCATACTAGTTTTTTAATGGTTGAAAAAATTCATGTATTAACCTCCATGTTTTAATGTTTATAGTTTAATTGAAAAACTTTTCATATATATGCATAACACTCCATTTAAATTCCCTTGGAATGTACTCCCTCCGTCCCCTTTTGATAGTCCCTTATGGGCATTTTTCACGAGAATTAATAAACACAAATAAGAATAGTAAAAGTAAATTGATATTGGGTATGCAAAAAAGTAGAGAGAGAATAAAGTAATAAAAGTACATGGGAAAACAAAAGTTACATGGGAAATATAAATTTGCACAAGTATTGTTGCAAATTGGAGAGAATTTTGGTAAAAAATTAATATTTATGATTGTTGGAAAAAGCAAATGGGGTGAACATTTTGAGACTATAATTTTCCCATAAGGCATTATCAAAAGGGGACGGAGGGAGTAACTCCTTAATAATTGCACAATAATAAAATTTGTAAGAAATTAAACATTACTCTATTTTTTTGTGTGCATTAAATCATACAATTGTAATTATAGAGTACAGTAATATTATATGTATACATATAATTTATACATATTTGCTTTATCATTTAGTTCACAACAGATTGATTTATTATTAATCCTATATTTATTAATGTAAAAATTTATTCTTATTATCAAACTAGCTCATACAAACAACAAACTACTTAAGCTAAATAAAAAAAACCACCACTTAAGCTATCAGTTCAAACAAGCCAAAATATATATAGTTCGATTAAAGTAATAAATTTATAATGACATGGGGTATCGCCTGGGCCAATAACTAGTTAATTATTTTTTGATATAAAAGTTAGAAAATTGTCATTTACCACCTCACAAAAACACAAAAATTGCTTTTACCACCTCCCAATCCAAAAGTTTTATTTTACCACCTCATAAAAAAATAAAGATAGCTTTTACCACCTCCACCTAACTCCGGTGACGGAAAGTTGATGTGGGGCCCACACTAACGGCTAATTTTTCAAATTTACCCCATTCTTCCTCGATTTTCAGGTATAAATAACCTATCTCACCATTTTCTTCAAAAAAAAAATCCATTGAATCCTTGTTTTTTTTTTTTTTTTTTGAATTTCTTCCCAAAACCTCAAATTCGATGTGCCCTATCAATCCCAGCATCGAATTGTTCAAGATTTGTGCTATTTAACAAAGTCCATTGAGATAGAAATTGGAAGGAGGTACGATTTTCAATTAAATTGCAAATACCATGAAATAGTATGCATTTTTCGCAATTTTTGTGTCAATTATGTTGCAATTGTGATGTTTTATTGTAAATGTGGATATGACTTAAGAATTGACCCCCAATTTCATATTTTAAAAATTAGGGTTCATGTTAGTTTCAATTAAATTGGGGGGTTTTTTAAATTACAATTGTTTAATATAATTAGGGTTTGGCAATGGTAATTGTGTTCAATAGAAATAATTTTGATGTTGTTGCTTGTCAATTGCAGTAGGAAATGTCTTCCATAAGTGTATCACCATCAAAAATGTCAATTGCAGCAGGCAATGTCTTCCATAACTTAGGGTTTACCTTTTTACAGAGAGAAAGAACAGAAAATGTGAGGAGAGAGAGAAAGAGAGAGGTTGAATTTAAGAGAAATTAATGGAGGGAGATAAGAAATTGATGAGAATTCAGTGGGGAAGGTGAGAAAAGGAAGAGAGAGAGGGAAATCGAGTTTTGTTGTCTTAAATGTGGAGGGAAGTGAAACTAGTGGGCCCCACATCAACTTTCCATCACCGGAGTCAAGTGGAGGTGGTAAAAGCTGTTTTTTTTTTTTTTTTATGAGGTGGTAAAGTAAAACTTTTAGATTGGAAGGTGGTAAAAGAAATTTTTGTGTTTTTGTGAGGTGGTAAAAGACAAAATTTCCTAAAAGTTATTAATGAAAATTCTAAAAACTATGGCCTTGTTTGACATGGTTTTTTTTTTTTTTTTTGTTTTTTTTTATTTATTGATTTTTTAAAAAAGAAAAAACCAAACACAAGAACAAGAAAGCAGTGTTTTCACTTTTTATTGTTAGGTTTCAAAATTATCATGATTTTAATAAGTTTGACAAAATTTTGATTCATTGTATGACATAAATCATATATTTTTTAAAGAAAAAAAATTTCAAAAAAAGAAACGACTATTTCACCGAATACCACTGATTATTTAAAAAAAAACACCAAATGCCATCATGGTTTTCAAAATTCACCAAATGTCGCTGACAAACAATACAATGACACATCGTGTCATTAATTGCATATGGACGTTAGTTGTTCTTTAATGCAATTCTTATTTCACTAAATCCCATTATTTGGGAAAATTATTTCATTAATTGCCATTACTTTTTAAAATTAATGGGGGTCATTTTGACCCGAAACAAATTAAGCTCAAAATTGGCAAAAAAAATAATGTTAATGCCTCGTATTGTGTGCTGAAAAATATCTCAATTAGCGTGTCATTATATTTCTTACCATGAAAATTGATCGGGTAAAGATTTGTGGGTCATTTTTACCCTTTATAGATACAAATTAAGTTAAAAATCGGCAATAACAAATACCCTGTAACAAAAACGCTAATCATGATAAAAAAGTTGAACGGATAAAGTTTGTAAGCTCATTTTGACCCTTTACGTTATTTTATTACCAATTCCGAGCATAATTTGTTTTCCTAAAGAATCAAAATGACCCTCAAAACCTTACCGGTTAATTTTTATGGTTAAAAAATAACGACACGCTAATCGAGATATTTTAAAACACACTAAACGACGCATTTACGTTATTTTTTGCCAATTTTGAGCTTAATTTGTATCCATAAAGGATCAAATGGCCCACAAAACTTAACCAAGCAATTTTTGTCACAAAAATCGAGAAAATAAATATATAATGATTAAAATAAATCAATCATATCATGACACGTGATAGGATTTTATCTTAATGACTAACGAAGTTAACGACCGTTAGATATTAATGGTATTTAGTGAATTTTGAAAACCTTAATGATATTTGATGAATTTCTTAAAAACTCAGTGGCATATATAACAACAATATGGCAATATTCAGGGAGCATATATGCTTAGGTTAGATCATGTTTAGAGACATCAACTAATATTTAATAATTTGTTAAAAAAACTAATATTTAATAATTTATATTACAGCATAAGATATACTATGGACTATTTCTTAGTTAATACAACCAAAGGACATATATACTTTTTCCTTCAATTTGGTGCACGCAAATTTTTTTTTTTTTTTTTTTTTTTTTTTTTTTGGAGGAAACTTCTAATGTATACTTGCTTTAGTTTAATTTTAAGTTGCAAGACAAAATGCTAGTCAACAACAACTCTTTAAACATACACTCTTCTATATAAATCCCCAAAAACTAATATAAATCCTTCATCTCATAAATCAATATCGTTACAATTATTATTATGAGGACTAACCTTAAATCATCAATCATTTTAGCCCTATGGGCAACTTTTTCCCTCTTACTATCCTTCCCAACTCCTTCACTTCAACAACCACAAGTCACTCCATCAACCGGAGTAAGACTTCAAAATGCCTATGTAGCCCTTCAAGCATGGAAAAAGGCGATAAACTCGGACCCTAACGGGTTCACCTCGAATTGGAATGGTTACGACGTGTGTAGCTACAAGGGGGTCTATTGTGCAAATGCACCCGATGACTCTTACGTTATGACGGTTGCAGGGATTGATCTTAACCATGGCAACATCTCCGGTTCCTTACCGGAGGAACTCGATCTCTTAACCGATCTTGCCCTACTCCACCTTAACTCTAACCGCTTCTTTGGGACTATCCCTTCTTCTTTTTCACACCTTAAACTCTTACATGAGATTGACTTGAGCAACAACTTGTTTTGTGGTGAGTTCCCTAAGGCTCTTCTATGTCTTTCATCACTCAAATTCCTCGATATTCGATACAATCACTTCGAAGGCTCTATCCCCTCCGCCGTGTTTGACCTAAAACTCGACGCTCTTTTCTTAAACAACAACAATTTCACCTCAACCCTCCCTACAAACCTAGCAAACTCCCCTGTATCCGTGTTTGTCGTGGCTAATAATAACCTCAACGGGTGTTTTCCTGCCGAAATCACCAAAATGGGAGCAACTCTACAAGAGATCATTCTCATGAATGCGGGGCTAAAGGGATGTCTACCATCAAGTATAGGGGAGTTGAACAAAGCAACGGTATTCGACGTAAGCTACAACGAGCTAACGGGCACCTTGCCCGAAAGCATGGGAAAAATGGAGAGCTTAGAGCAACTTAATGTTGCACATAACAAGTTTTATGGGAAGATACCTTACAGTATTTGTAGTTTGCCTAAGTTGGAGAACTTCACTTATTCATACAATTATTTTTGTGGAGAACCTTTACAATGTATGAGGTTACAAGATAGGGATGATAAGTATAATTGTCCACCTTTAAGGCCATACCAAAGGTCTCCTGAAGAATGTACACCCTTCCTAGCCTACCCTCCTAATTGTAGCTCCTTTGGTTGTCAAGGAAGTCTGTCGCCACCACCGCCGCCACCTCCTCCTCCGCCGCCATCACCGCCACCGCCGTCGACATATAATCCACATGAGCAAGTACCATATAATCATATTCCTTGAATAGTTCAATTATTTGTTGTGTACAAGTTAGTTTAATTAATTAATTTGTGTTGTCCAGCTACATATTTGAGATTGTTACGTTGGTGGGAAAAGTGGGGTTGAATATTTGAGCCAATTGCTTTGGATAATTTTGACCAAGAAAAGTAAAAGAGTGGTGGAAAAAAAAAACGAAAAAGTCAATGGTGCTTTATTTGCAAATATAATGGGTTATTTATTTTTTGTTGGTTTCTACGTAGAAAGATGTAAATTATTGTATAAGGGAATGTAAATAAGAGTACCATCCCCATCCATGATGATGTAGCCTCAATATTTCTCATGTTCTTGTTTTATTATTTTAATGAGCTTTAATTTTCTTGTATTGTACATGTTTGGTACTTGATAGTAATTAATCTTTCATACTTATAATTAGTTGTTCCATTCTTTTCATGACAATTAAGACAAATTTGTATATTTAATACGTTTAGTTGATTGCGTAATAATATAGATAAATTCTTCTTTTTTAAATGCAACACTAACCACACATTAACAAACCGTTAACCTTTGCAAAATTGCAAATAATAATAATAAAAAATTAATGCATTAATTATGAAGCACGAAAACAGTTATAAATTTTTTTTTAAAAAATCAAGTAGCTGTTAGAGGAGTTACACTTTTATATTCATTTATCCTTGAAAAAAATACACAAATTCTTATATATAGCTGGTTACGCAATATGGTCAGTCATCATAAAGGGCTACTTCATTAGTGTAATATGGGTTCTTTGGTCAATGTTAAAGGGGTTACTTTATTAGTATTATAGGGATTAATTGGTCAGTGTGATATTACTTGGCCAGTGTTAAATTGATTACTTTGTTCTTATATGAACGGTCACACAGTCCGACCATCCACACATAAGAAGGGCTAAAAAAAATAACAATAATATAAACAACAAACTTTTCATTTTATTTTATTTTTTGTAATCAGGAAACTTGTTTGATAAGACATAAATTATTGAAAGATGACTTGGCCAAAGAATCAAGGGGATCTCGAATATAAATCCTGATCATTTGTTAGCCTATCAAACTATCTACACACTGTTATGAATAAATGAAGTTACTCATACAAGTATATAAGGAAAATTGGTACTCCCTTCGTCCTTAAATTACATTCCTGTTTTCCTCTATTATATGAGGAATAAATGCTAGAAATAGGAATGTAATTTAGGGACGGAGGGAGTATTATTTATTTCAACTTTGGGCAATTTACTTTTATTAATCCCAACTATGACCTATTCCTGAATAATTCCAACTTTAAGAGTCGTTTTCTTTTAACATCTCTAAAATGACCGGTGACCTGAAGAAATGGTGAATTTTTTTATTTTATTTTTCAAATTGCCAAATTAAATGTCACGCGTTTAATGGTCCAACAAATAAAAACTATATTAAAAAAAATATATATATTAAAAATTAAAAAAAAAATTGAAATAATAAAAAAAAAATGAAATCATTGCCTTTCCCATCCAACATAGTCGAACCAGCCCCTACCACCAGCAGATGACCCAACCGCGGCCGACCCAACCCAACCTTTTCCCCTTTCCTTACCACTAGAGGTGATTATTGGGTAGGGTAGCCCAATAATAATAGGGTCAGGGCCAAACTTAAAGGGTTTTTCATGGACAGGGTCGTTAATGAACAAAACCCTTATTGGACAGGGTCAATATAGGGCCAAAATATTTTTCCAATCATATAACTAATATATAAAGCTAAACTTTTAGCCAGGCGATAAGACATCGACACTTGGCGCTCCAACTTTTCGCCAAGTGTCGTGCCACGTAAGATAGAGTTATATCGAATTCAATTTGTAGGATAAAAAAGTTAGTTTAGAATTTTATTTTCAATCAAATTTGGATAGAATTTTAAGATAAAATTTTTAATTTAGAGTTTTATTTTTGATAAAGTACCAATATTTCATAGGTACAAATTAAATTATAATTTTATTCAAAAAATAATTAGATTATAACTCTTATAAATTATCATATAAATTTGTTTTTTGTATCATAATATTTTTCTGGAGTGAAGGAATTAATTCAAAATGTACCACATCGATTGTTTATAATATATTCTAATCAATTAAAATAATATACTTCACAACCTAATATAATTTTAGTACTGTGTGTAGACCTGTAAATCAGGTCGGGTCACATTCATTTTAGGCAGGGTCATTATTTCATGTTACGGTCAAGAAATATTTTTCACCAATATTATTATTATTAGTCATTACATGTCTACAAGTTTAAATTATCAAAAAAACACATCAATTCCTAACTAATTTTGTATCAATGATATGTTTTAAAATTTGACATATAGATTAAAAATATATCTTAAAATTCAATAAACAACCCGGGCATCGCACGGACGCAAAACTATTTTTATTTTTAAAGAAAATAGATAGTATAAAATTAATTACATAGATAAATTTATATTCATATATACGTAATAATGGCTTTGTCCAATATTTTTTTAATTGATATTTTATAGGCCCGTCCATTATCTACCCGCTATTGACTCGCGACTCGCATTGGCCCAACCCAATATTGATCCTATAATATATGACCCTCTTTGACTCGACTCGCACCGACCCTGACCCGGCGTCAACACTTGAGCATTCAGTCTCCCTCAACCCACCACCAGTGACGCCTCTCAACCTACCACCTCTGACGCCTTTCAAACCACCAACACCAGCACTCGCTCTCATCACACCACCAACACAACCCATAACCAGCCCATAACCCACCCCTTCGCTGTCCTCGCCTCTTCCCCAGCACCCACACTCCTTCAATTCCTAACCTTTTCTAAAAAAAGCGGTTCAAATTAATGAAATTGGGTAGCGAATTGCTGATTACATTTTGTTTTGGTGGTTTGGTTGCTGGCTGATAGGAGAAATTTGTGGAGGTTTGAGCTTGGTGGAATTGATGCTGTTGTTGTTGTCATTGCCTGAAGTTTGTTGTTGTTATTTGCGTCAGAGGAAAGGTGGTTGTTGTAGTGGTCTGATGCATTCTTGTTGTAATTGATATGTTTGCAACTTTTGAAGGTGGGGCAGGGTTGTCGGCGTTTTTTGGGGGCGGGAGGGGGGGGGGGGAAGGGTGGGAAGAGGGTGGGGCGATTTCCGGCTGAAGGAAGGGGTGGGAGTGTTTCCCGGTGGAAGAAGGGGGAATTGGTGGTGGGTTTTTTTTTTTTTTCATTTATTTCTAAATATGGTTTCTTTTTTTAAAACCAATAGAAAGTTGACTTGTAGCAAGTGACCTGCTGTTCCTGGTTTGGTAACCTGTAGGGCCTGATAAAAGTCAATAACCCTCAAAGTTGGATTATTTAGGAATAAGCCATATTAATAAATGTAAATGTCCCAATGTTGGGAACTTGGGATTAATAATACCAAAATTTCCAGTATATAAATATTAGGTTAGGTCCCGTGTCATGTACATTTATTTTACTTACCCCATAACTTCTTTTAACAAATTAATTTCTTTATAGCATACAATAAAAATTGTTAATTGTCTTGAACAAAATTAAAGTAACATGGAATATTTGATCAAATCAAATTCTTAAAAAATATTCCACCAAAATTACATCTTCTTGAAAAATATTATATATTTCCTTATTATTCCATAATTAATTACGTATGAACATAAAATTGGTAAATATTTTGCTCATTTATATAGCTGACAAAAAATATATTTTTTTAAACACTTCATACAAAAGAAAAAAAATTATTAATTAATTATTAAAAAAAAATATAAGTAATATTTCAAGCATTACTCCAAACTTGAACCCCACTGTGATCATACACTTAAGCATGGTGGCGTCCAAAGGAAAGGAAGCTAGAGTAGAAAAGTCGCCTACAAGTTTTAGGAACTTGTAAACCGTTCACAGGGTGAAGGTTACACCCCTTCATTTAACGATCCAGGAGATCGTTAACTCCAATAGGTCTGGAACCAAGAATGGAAGTTCGGGGATGAAGGTACGAATCCAATCTAAAAAAGAAAGAACTCGCCCTATAAAATAGGACCCTATTTTATCATACTCGTATTCATGTGCGTTTTCTGACTAACATGCAATCAATAGGTTTACCCTAAACCTGTTTAATTTATGTTGGTTGAATATTAATGAACAAATAAATCTATTATTGGCGATCACTTGAATTATAATCATATTAGCCTAAACAAGATTATTAATTATCTTATTAAGCGTGATTACAAGTACAAATTCCCTTTGAACATGCATAAAAGGTGTGATCAATCAATAACAATAATAATATATCAAGCAACAATAATCATAATCATAAAAACAATCATAATTATAACAATCATGTTAAAACATAATACTAATATATAGCAAGATCCTAGGCATGATACTAGCAAGATTAATAACAACTCCTAGCATGTTACTAAACAAAAAAGATTAAAGCTTTAACCCTAACATGATACTAACATGATATTAGGAAAAATAAAATAGGAAGCATCATAGAAATGATAATTGATATAAGAAACTTAAGTTAAAACATGATACTAGGACGCAATAAAACATTCTAACATGATACTAGGAATCAAAATAACAATCTAAACATGAATTCTATATCAAAATTATCAATAAAACAATTAAAGTACTCACTTTGATGCCTCGAATCTCTTTCTAATAACAAAATACACGCGTTAGTAACTTCAAGAAAAATATAAAACAAACAATTAAATTAAATAATTGAAATAGAGATTTGGGACCAAACCCTCAGAAATACCAAACCTTTCATGTGTAGGGCGAAGGCAACTTCAAACTTGGCTAGATGTGTCTAGTGCTAATGTATGAGGAATTGTGTTTTTAAAAGGCTAGGCTAGAAAGAGGAAGAGAGAGAATAAGCTTTAGCTTAGAGAGAGAGAAAAATTAGAGAATTCTGGTTGAGAATTGGAAACCGGAGGTCCAGGGACCTTATTATAAGAAAACAGTCCGGAATTGATAGAAACAAATCAGAGTTCAAAAAGGATAAAACACTCTTCTGTCGCCAGGCGACGAAACTGTCGTTTGGCGATGCAGAAGGTTTTCCACGCGTTTTCAACGCGGAATTTACTTTTTGATAATATCAAGTCGTAAAATCCGTACGAAGGGTAAAATTGTAATTTCATATAAAACACTTCTTTAATTCCAAATAAAACTCATAAAACATAATTATCAATCCTAATCCCATTAGGATTTAAAAGAACCTTCTAGAAGATTCTAGAAGACTATAATCAATCCTAATTGCATTAGGAATGATAACTCATAATAGTCCCTCTTGTAGATCATTGGGCCGTATATAAGAACCAAATCGGGCCCAGTTTAGTATTTTGACCATAA